TGCTCTGTGTGGGGCTTTTCTCACCCCTCCTGCTGCAGAAAGCCAGGAGGGGTGAGAAAATCAGAGCGGTAATGGCGTTCGATTACTCCTGTGTTAATCAGGCTGGAAATGCGCTCTGGCATCTCGTCTCTGTTTATTTTGTCTTCTGCTTGTAATGTCAAAAAGACAAACACGTGGTTAGCCAGGACTATGGAGGCTCCTACGTGAAATGTGTGCCTCAGATGCTCTTTAACAGACGGTTTGATCAACATCTGAAGGCATCCACAACCACATTTCTTCCTCTTGTATTTTCCAAAATACGATTGGGTGAAAAGCTAAAAATCAATGAATTAAGTGATCGTAACAATACATTAATATCAGAGAGAAAGAAACAGAAAGATTCCAAGGAACTGGGAAGCTAAAACTCAGATTACTTTGTCCAGCATGAGTTCAGTCCTGTAGGTAAGGAGAGGAACCTCTTTGGAAGGTTGTCCTCAGCTGTGGTTTGTCCTTGACCCTAATGAGCTCAGCAAGACCTTGGCTGTTACATTGAGTGAGTGCTGGACCGGGCCACCTTGTAACGTGTATGTATATCTGTGCGTATATCTATATATCAATGTATGTATATGTCTGTCTGAGATACACACAACATTAATATCTCCGTTCAGGGGTGTGATTAAGGCTTTTGTACACACTGGAGGATGCCTTTGGTCGACTCAGTGGGCCCCTGCTCATCCAGCCGAGGGTGTCCGAGGTGTCACCAGCCGCCACTGCCCGTGGAAACCTGTGTCAATCACAGCAGCCCGATGGGCTGGGTTAGCCTGGGTTGGCGTTTGACCTTCTAACCAACTAAACTGGTGCCAGAGACTCATGCTGGGACTGACAGTAATCTGGAAATAATCAGTTGCCTTTAGGGGAGCAGATTATTTGCACAGAAGGGACCGCATCTTTCCATAGGGACCGCAGGGGAGAGTAACCCACGCGTCTCCCTGAGGCTCTGCATGCTGAATATCCCACTCCCACGCCGCGATGCTCAGACCCCAGCTCCAGAGCAGCCCCGGTAGCGCTGCCGGTCCCCGGGGCTCCCTGGGGATGCGGGGTCCCATCGTGGGCACCTGAGGAGTCCTCAGGAGGCAGTGGGTGGTGCCGGCTGAGCTTGCACGGGATGCCGTGAAGCAGAAGGAATTCCTGCAAGTTCCTTCTGCGTGTGCCCACGAGCTCCTCCGATTGCCGAGTTCAAGCGCAAAACGAGATTGGGTTTATACGCCCTTCAGCCTTTTTCAGTCTGTCCGTGAACTCCGCAAGCGGTGCCCGCTGGTGGGACGGTGGGGACCACGTCATTACCCTTGCGCAGGTAGAGGGCTGCTCCATGGCGCGGAGGACCCGGTCGTGGTGGCGATCTCCTGGCAGGGCAGTACCTGGGCAGCGATTTGGGATGGGCTGACGGGAGCTGCGGTGGTGCCTCAGCAAAGCCAGTACCTCCCCGCGAGTGGTAGGGGCCCGTCTGAAAAGCGTTATGAAAATCAGATGCATGAACGCGGATGTTCAAATCCTGTCCCATAAGGGACTGCACCACACTCTGTTTTTATCTTTTTTTTTTTTTTTTTTAATGCCAGGCTTAATATAATACATTTTCTGTGGGAGAAGAGCAAATAATTCACAGATTAACTACCTCTCTTTGTGAGGTTTTTTTGGTGGGAAAAAAAAGAAGAAATTTGAAACTTTTCGATGTTGTTGAACAAAACAAGTTAAATTTTTGGCTTTCCATGGCTCAGACAATTAAAAAAATGTCTTTCTTATCTGTTTAGAGGAAGAAGAGAGTACTTTTTGTTTCCTATGCAGATGAAAAAAATCTTCCTGCAGGACTCGGTCAATTGTAGATGAACTGACGCCACCAATTCGATGCCAAATGCATCATTTCTAGTAATGGCATTTACTGACCACAGTGAGACAAATTTCAGAAACGGCCTTGATTTTTATCTTTATTTTTCCGTTTAACACTCAACCAGAAAAATCCTGTCATGAACTCGGCCCTCAAAACACCTGTCTTTTAAACCTAGAGTCAGTAATCAAAAGTTTCCTGTCTGGCATTTGCTTCCAGGTCTAATTTTTACTCTCCCCTCATTTCCAGTAAAAGCAAACCGTGCAGAGAGTCACTATGCGGATGCTGCTCAGGAAACTCTAGGTACCACGGGAAATGCGTCGCACGGAACTAATCAAAAGCTGCACGGCTCATTCTCCCTCTACCCTGCTACCACCCGTTCTGATCACTTCTCTGCTTAATAGAGGTACTAGATGAGTAAAAACAAGGTGAAAGAGCCTCCCCATTGCCCGCTCAGAAATTAGAGGCTTCCTTGGCTGCTAATCATGCAGAACACGTGAATCAAAGAGACGAGGATGTGGAATTTGTTCTGGGCTAGCAAGCCAGTGTCTGCTCAGCAACGGAGGAGGCCAGGAACTGAAGTTTAACAAATGATGGAAAATTTAAGGGAAAAAAAAAATTTGAAATTTAATTATTTTTTTTTTAAAAGACCCCTTCCTCCCTATTGGTCCATCCCTTTTCAAGGTCCAAGCAATCCTTCCTTGCAAATTAAATTGCATTGTACAGCAGTACCAAGTTAGTAGCATGACAAATACCGGCTTCCTACCTCTGCTCAATCACCGTTCCTTTGGCTCTCTGAACACTACAAATTGACCTTTCCTAGTCCTGTGGCCTTCGGAAGCCACAGCTTGCCTATCTAGCACCTCTACTACGCAGCTAGAGAAGGACTAATCTCAGCCTGTCCCAGCAGACGTAGGGTTCCCCTCAGTGTTGACATTGGCATTGCGAATGGTTCTGTTTCTAGGTCCCGTGGGGAACAGATAGCTAGAGCAGAGGGCTTCGTACGGGCAGTGTTTTCATCCTGTTCATCAAGCTGACAATTGTTAGGCGGCTTCAGAGAACTCCCAGGGAGCATCCCTCAGCGCACCCGTCTGACGGCCATGAGGGTACACCGATACACGCGTCTTCATTTACTTGTGCATAAATACGTCTACTTCCACACCTGCACTGGAAGAGTCTCTTCCCCCGGCCCCAGACACTGCTTCTCAGCAGCAAACATGCACCTTCTTGAATTACCAATGCCCAGAGCTTGCATGCTGTGAATGCTGGCAGGCGAACCCCATCAGCTCGTCCCCCCGCAGCCAGGCAGGTGGAAAGCCCGGGGGTGGCAGGGCACTGAGTGATGCCGCATGTTTGTGAAATCGGATTTTTGCATGCTCTTTTTTGGAGTCCGTTTTAATTCTCAAAATCACCAGTCTCTGTCTCCCTCAGAAAGCCAACAAACTACAGCTTTAAGACTATAAAACTATGGCTTTAAAAGTATATGTATCTCTGATTTCCTCCATTAATTGTTCCAACTTGTATCTTTTCTTTTCTTGCTATTTTTTCCCCTGCTGGCTATTTTTATTATCTGTCAGAATAGAGGCTAAGACTCATGCCTGAGACTTGCGTGTACCAGAAGCTCAGAAGTAGTGTGGTAAATCCCATCTCTGAATGGGTAACAGAGAGGAAGGGGGCATGATCTAGGTTTCATAATAAGCAATTCTCCATGGTAGGAAACCCCATGTGCCTGAATCTTTGAGTTAGCCTCCTCCTACGTGTTTTGATGGTACTGTGGCCTTCCTTGAAGTCTATTCTTGAAAGGTCTGGTTTAAATATTGGGTGATCATCAGCTGCATTTCCAAATGGCAAAGATGTGGTTAACAGCCTAGCTGAAAAAAATTGCCATGACTTCTGTAGTGTTTCCATTTGCCAGGTGACGTTGTTTTAGCCTTGGAGGTGGAGTGCAAGCAGGGACTCCTCCCCAGAGGAAGGTGCTTTTCGGTTGCTCAGTGTTGAGGTTGGTTTTGGCAGAGATTAAAACAAGCAGTGATATTCGTAAAGTGCTGTCTTCTCACCTGTCCATGTCCAGTTCTGTTTTCTGGAAAATCAGCCACTCTGATCTTAATGTCTTCCTTGCATGGTCTTCCTAGGCATGACTTTTTAATTGGTAAAGTCGGTATAATTTTTTCTATTTTCTACTGAATTCCTTCCTCATTTCATCTCCCCCATCTTGAGTTCTGCAAGGGAAAAGGAGGATGAAACAAATTATTATCTCAACATCTTCTTGATCCATTGGAGACCCAGAGAAGGAGGGTTACAGACTGTGGTTCTTCCAGTCAAAAAGGAGTCTTGAACTTTGGAGTAGCTACAAGAGCATCTTTGTTAACCTGCATCCATCCTGAATGTAGTGTTTTACACACTGTCTTTTAGTAAAACTAAAAAACTAAATAGGTTAACCTTGAAGGGACATAAAAATAATTCAAATGTCTTGTTTTCCTGGACCCTTGGGCTACCCGCCTGCAATCCCCCACTGCATAAGCTCTTAGGGATAGATGCCAGCACTTCGTTGCATCTAAGACTGAGTAGTAAAAGCCTTCATCTAGGATGCATATAACAAAATAACAGTAAACGATGAGGCAATCACAAAAAACTCAATGTAGGTAAATTAATAGAAAACTCCTTAGGAAGCCGTGGTTTCTTAATGTACTAAACCAATGATCTCTAGTCAATAAAGGCAGTAATGCATGCATTTTTAGACAGTAATATAACTATACCAAGCCAGATTATCAGGTCTCTCATACTCTGCTTTGTAAGAGACTTCCCTGGCATCTCCTCAGGGGGATGAAGGCCTCACAGAGACCTGACCGTGGGAAGAAATGGCAGACGGACCAGTGAAGGAAAGATGTTTGCAGAGCCCTTGACTGTGCTACGGGTCTGGGTGTAGCATGTTTCTTAAAGTCTTGTTTAGGAATAATCAGCCAGCTTGAAGATGCAATCTAGCTGTTTGGCTTTGCTCCTGAAATGCAAAACAGCTGAGCTGGCAAACAGCAAGAGGTTACTTGCAGATGCCCGAAGATATGTGCGATGTGGTGTTTGACAGCACTCAACATCAGTTTGGGGAAAACGCTGTGTGTTAGGAAGAGTAGGGTGACGGTGTAACAACAATGCTGCAAAATGCCGAAGGCCAAGGTTAAAGACATGTGTCTGGCTGCAGTGTCCCTTCACTCACCCAAGGCCCCATGCTCAGCCAGGTTTACGTGCTGCCTGCAGGGATGGTGCAAGTCTGGTCTTTCCCGTTATGATTTCAGTGACTCCCTTCAACCCAAGTCTAACACTGTGGTTGTGGACAAGGAGGAGAAGCAGGATTACTCACCATGACATTGATTGTTGGTTGACCTTTTGCTTTCCTTATGCCCAGCTTGCTCTGCTTCTAGATACTCCATTCTCTGGGCTGAATTCACCTTTGCAATGGCTTTTCTGAAATCACGGGAGGCAAACCAGGCTTGAGCCTGGTCCTCTCTTGGTTTCTGCTCTAGTCATGGCAAGCGTTGCACACACAGATGTATTTACCTTTCCTTCATGTCTCCAGTAATTGGTTTCTGCCTCTTATTCACACCTGCGACCAGACTGGAGCCCAGTGATCGCCACAAAGGCTATCATTCTCTCCTGCCTGGTTTTAACAAGCTGTTCTCATATGCCATGAGCTCAGCACAAATGCTGGATTAAAAAACAGCGTTTTTTAATTAAATTTTTAATTAAACAGTGTTCATTTCCCAACAGGAGATAGCCTCTTTCTCCTGGCCATAGCTTTTCAGAAGAAGGAACACTGCTACTGGTTGAGTTCCTATGCAGAGGTGGATCTCAGTCCATGTTAGTTTAATTCAGTTTGGCTAATGTTTGCTGGCTACAAAATGAAAGGAGAAAATGAAACAATTGCTCAAGCGTGCTTTAAAATCAATGACGAGAAGTTACAGGTAATACTTTTTATTGACCCAAAATTACTGCTAATGTAATGAGTCCACATTTTTTAAAAGTGCTAATTTAATACTATAGAGTGCTGTGGAATGAAACCCAAACCAGAGGGTTTCAAATAGGAGCTCAAACCCCCAGGATCCTAAGGAGGCTGATGGCAGCTCATTTGAAGGTTAGCTCGCATGCATTTTGCTGCTGAGTGCTGGGCTGTTGGACCTAAATGAACCTAAACGCAAAGTCCACTAAAGCAGTGAGCATCTTTCTATCAGCTCGTGGGACCACGGATCGATCCTTACGTGTTTGTCCAGCATGGGCTCTTGTTTTTGGACTGGCAGCAGAAAAAAGTCAACTCAGTTTCTATCCTTTGTTAAATTCAAGTCAAAAGGTGAAAGTTTTGTAAACCTTCCCCAAAGTCAGGCTAGAAACATTATAGTTTTTTTGTTATCAAATATGTTTCTAATAGGTGCCAACTGAAAGTGGTTATGAAGATTAGGAATGAAAGCATGCCCCATTATGCTGTTATGGCTTCCCATTATTTTTGTCTCTGGTTACAAAGCCACAGTTCCCTTCCCTTCCCTTCCCTTCCCTTCCCTTCCCTTCCCTTCCCTTCCCTTCTCCCGGCCCCAGCAGGGTGCCCTGCCCCGTGCTCACGATTGCAAGGCTTCAGTTCACGTTGTCAAGCTTCCGTTCACATTATCATCTGCGGCTGGGTTACTGCTTCCCTCATGTTCGTGTCACCAACACATACACTTCCCACTGAACTGAGGCTCATTTACCATCTACTTGAGTGACACCTAAATACCACTTCTCTGAGACACTCTGCGTCACTCTGCATGACTTTCTGGTTGAATGAGAACATGATCTTGGATTAGCTGACAACATATATCTCTATATATGTCTCTATTTCTTTTGGACTCTTTCCTACCAGCTCCTGCAGACCCCAACAGCGTTTTCCTCTGCAGGGATTGTGCTTGCATGTGATTCCAGGTGTCATTTCCAATGAGAGAACTGCATGGCAAAAGGAAAAATTCAATTAATTGTTCATGTTGTCTCATGTCACCTATATTAAAACAAAGAAGTTACATCAGGTGTTGGGTTTTTTTTCTGATTAGTGAGTACTCAGGAACAAAACCCACCCAGATCTTAATTGTTCATCAAATTTCTATGAGATTTTTTAATGTGTAGAAGTGTTGCACCTCATGCTATCAGGCTTGAAACTCTTTGCTCATATTTCTCACTGAGTTCAATGCTTCTTTTTTTTTTTTTTTTTGTGTGATTCTTGCAAACATTTGCACCATATTTATTATGGGAATGGAAAAGGGCTTTGCTCCGTGTTAGGCAACCGGTTTTACACCGAGATCAGTGATGGGAGCAACCCTGCAGAGGATGAGGCGCAAAGAGATTGGTTTGAATTCTGGATACTGATGTGTTGCTGATTCATTTTTCTAAAACTTATTTTTAAAGAAGACCAGGTAGTTCAAAGTATTGGTACTACTGAAATGCAGTAGATTCCAGGAATATTCTTCTGTAAAATCAACTAAAATAAAGAAAAAAAGTCCAATTGTCCTATTTCGGATCAAATGACAACTACAACTTCAACCTGGTTTCTAATCCAAGAAACACAGAGTGAGAATTGCTTTTAAACATTTGGCTCATTATGTACAATGATTTTGGTAGCCTTAGTGACTAAGGCTTACACCCAGAGAGGTATTTAGGCACATGCTTGTTCCTAGATTCCCGTGTGGATTTGTACCTCTGATGTGATTTTTGGCTACGCTGAACGTCTGTCGGTCCCGTGGCTTTCAGGCAGGCTCTGCCGGTGGGCAGCGTGCTGGAAGGGAACCTCCAGTACCTGCATATGCAGTTTCACTGAATTAAAAATGCGTCATGAATTGGATTAATTCTGTCTTCTCTAACTCGGCCGTGAACAAATTTTATTTTCTCTCAAACGTATCTTTCGACTTGAAATTGTTGCCCAGCCGATGGCCACAGGTAGCCCTGCTCGGCGGCCCAGGAGCCGCTCGCCCCGTTCCCTGGGCGTTGCTTCAGGGCAGCGGTGCCTCCCCGGGACCAGGCTGTGCAGCGCTGGAAAATGCTGCCTAAGCACCTTTCTCGCCCTGTACATGTTCGGCATCTCGCAATGTAAGGTGACTTTGTAAAAATAGCACCTTCTTACTCGACAGATCTGCTCCCTGCGTGTCTTCGAGTCACGTCTTCTTCCTTCGCTGACAGAAACGACTGTTCCCGTCAGCACAGCACAGCTGGGGAAAAGGGAGCTGCATTTTGCTTTCCTTCAAATATCAGCAGCTAGGTTCGGACCGAAGAGCCTCATGCCAGTTTTGAAGGCAAAGGAGGACTCTCTGGCTCTCGGTTTTAAGGTGGCGTTGCCGAGAGACAGAAAAAAACCCAGGTCTTTGGTTGGTGACCTGGAAATCGGATGTGGAAATCGAAATTCCTGCAGTGTTCTTCCCACAAGTTGAGTCAGAGCGTTTGCAGCCAAACGATAAGTGGCTACTGCAATGGTACAGAGTATTGGGAATTAAATCTGTGTTTTGACTCAGTTTTGATCTACTTATATATAAAACACTGGCTGTGTGTGCAAGTGCCTTGCACTGGTTGTCTAACTTCTAATAGTGTATTTTAATAATCAATTGCTGTTCAGAAGATATCGAATTATCCAAAACTATATGCAGTTTGGTTTCCCCAGTACTGTCTCTATGACCTTTCATAAAGATTGACAAAATCTTTTTGTTTTGTAATTTTCATGTGAAAATTCATCATCTTCATTTGGGTGGAATTTTTAAATTACCAATTTCAGAATTTGGAAAATAATTAGAGCTGGGCGGTCAGCAGACTATTTCTCAGTGAGGTCATCTCTGTTGCTGGAGAGATCTTCTTTTCAAACCATAATTACAAGGTTTTAAAGAAATGGGATGCTAGTAGAAAAACAGCAATAAAATGCCATCTTCTGAAGTTGTAAAATTTTGCTTTGCATGTTTATGACAGCTGTAACAGACCTGCAGATAGATGTTAGCTGGCTTTTAGATTGAAACTTTATAGGATACAAAGAAGTTGCACATTTAAATGTTTGTATTTAGGTATTTAAACATATGACTGGAAAAAGAGGAACTCTTTGGAATATATAAAAGGGGCAGATGTGTTTTAAGAGGGAGGAAATACAGGAGCTGAAGCAAGAAAAAGGACAGGTCTGAGCACCAGAAATGAAGTGTTTCCCAGAAAGTTAAAAGTTAAGATAAAGGCAGGTTTTTATTGGTATTTTCTTATTAGATATAGGGTTTTGGAAGGCAATTGTGAAAGAAAAGCTTCCTCGCTCGTGATCGGAGACCATCAGTGATTTAAGGAATCATAACCTCATTGTTTAACGTCATTCTGTCCCGCCAGCCCTGGCATCCCACGAGGGGCTTCTGTTTAAGTCCTCATTATTTTCTCTCTCTTAATAATCATTCCCATTTCACTCATTATGACGGAAACATTTCTACAATGCTTTCTTTAAAAAAAAAAAAAGAAAAGAAAGAAACATATATTAAAAAAAACCAAAGCCAACAGCAAAACTACATCTCACTGCTGCTTGGAAGTGCTCTTGGTTTCTAATGGCTGGTGGGGAAGGACTGCGTGGTTTCCAGAATGACTCCTCCTGCTGTCTCCTTTTTGTCTTTGTTTCAACGTGTTTCTCTGAACAGTCAGAAGGTCAGTTTGAAAGATCGTGTCTTCTCCAGTCCCCGCGGTGCTGGCACCAAAGGGAAAGGCTCTCCACAGGCTCAGGGCATCCGGAGGTCCCCCAGCGCTGACCAGAGCATCGAGGACAGCCCAAGCAAAGTGCCCAAGAGCTGGAGCTTCGGAGACCGCAGCCGAGCCCGGCAAGCTTTCCGCATCAAGGGAGCAGCGTCACGGCAAAACTCAGAAGGTGAGGGCTTGGGGCGCCATGCCGGACCCCAAATCCCCAGCTGGCCCCGACATCCCCTCCCTACCCACTGAAGAAGGGCAGAGCTGCCGGCCAGGTTGCTCCCGTAGGTCTCCTTCCCCTTCCACTCCTTTTGCTTGGAGTTTAATAAGAGAGAAGAAAAACCCTGCTGAGACCCGTGATAATGTATGTATCTATGTATATAGGGATGGGGAAAGGAGGCAGGGTCAGGCATCTAGAGGTGGATTAGAGCTGCTGGATGTCACCATAACACGTCTGGGGAAATGCTTCTGTCAGGATGCTCAGCAAAGACATCTCTCATGTTTCCCCCTGGGATTGCTGTTGGCGATCGGACTTGCCTTTTCTCGCATGGCACCAACATGGGAAATAGTAACGCGTTGTCTTTATTCCTCCCTTTCCCAAACCCAGAAGCAAGCCTCCCTGGAGAAGACATTCCTGATGAGAACAAAAGCTGCAACTGCGAGTTTGTGACGGAAGATTTGACACCAGGACTGAAAGTCAGCATCAGGGCAGTGTGGTAAGAGAGGGAGAGGGGGAAAGCGGCCCAGAAAAATAAACAATAGGGGGGAAAAAAAGGAAATTTGAAGTCCAGGCTGAAATGTCTGTGCTGCAGGCTGTTTTTCCCCTGGGTGGCCTGCCCTCCTTTACAGAAAATTCTGCCAGAAAGGGCAATTTTTGCTGAGGGAAGGAATAAACGGAGAAACAGGAAAATCCCCTGCAGGGATGCATCCAAACGATCGTTCTCGCTAACTTTGAGATTTAGTGCTGACATTTATAAAAACGGTGCAGAGGACACTCGCACAGCTGATAGTCCAAGGGACGTCAGGGACCCCCCACCAAAGACAGAGCTTCAGCCATGAGCCCCCGGAGTCCCCTTCCCCTCTCCTATTGCCGCACCCTCTCCCAAGCCCACAGGGTTAGGATTTATTCCCATTTTCCTTCCAAAGCAGCTCCCTGCAGTGTTTTTTATCTGCCACTAAGCAGCTCAGGCTGCAAGCCCAGCGACTATATTGTGCCTTTCCTCTCCATCTCCTGCAGCATTATGAGATTTCTCGTCTCCAAGCGCAAGTTCAAGGAGAGCCTTCGGCCCTACGACGTGATGGATGTCATCGAGCAGTATTCAGCCGGTCACCTGGACATGCTCTCCCGGATTAAAAACCTTCAGGCCAGGCAAGAGACCCCTCTCTCTGCTTCTTTTTTTCACCGTTTTTTGTTCATTGTGGAGGTATTGCCAGGACAGAGACACCTTCCTTTGCAACTACAGCTTATTCTTTTGCTTCCTAAGAGAAAGCCTCAAGGAAAACATCAATGCTTGTGGCTGGAATCCACGGGGATGAGGAGGACAGGGACTGCGAATGGTGGCGTTATGCCACTAAAAGTGTCTTAGTGCCCACCCCAGGACATACAAACAAAAATCAGGGCTCATCCTCCTACTTTGGGAGTTTCTGTCATTATGTTATATCCCATAGGTAAGGCAGGTGCCTCTCTCTGTGGTGTTCCTGGCAGGACAGCAAAGGCTTGGTGCCCCAGTCTGAAGGCTAATGTGGCTAATTTGGTACCTTTCTGGGAGGGACACAAAATAAAATCTGGTGTGCTGGCTGTGATCCTGCTGCTCTGGGCAGAGCGGGCAGCGAGGAAGCTCCCGCCCTGAGGATGTTAAGCTGTTTTAGGAGGAATCCCTCCACGGGTGGCACAGTCTGCCAAAAATACATGCAGATGGGGATTTCTTATCCAAGCCCACCAATGTAGGTGTGATTTAGCCAAGCTGCATTTCAGCTTCTGTGCTCACATTTTAGGGGGACATGAGTTAGTTTTAATAGGGGAAAAAATGTGAAAAAGGGACAAATGGAACTGAGAAGGGCATTTAAAATTTAATTTTCTCCTGAAAAAAACCCCATATGAATTTAGTCCCCTGCACAGAAGGTCTGAGCTAAACCTTTTTGTCTGACCGCTGCTCCCTCAGCCCTGATGTCCCACATTGAAAATGAGACCCCAAACCTCGACATACTCCGGCTGTGTCGGCTCAGCAGAAGTGGCCCCAGTTCTGCTGAGCTCGAAGGACACCCAGGACGGAGGCAGGGCTTGGCCATAGGCTATCTCCATTCAGAATAATATACCATTTACTTTTACACTTGGAGAATGGAAGTATTTCCCTTGATGGCTGTGGCAGCCCAGCTTCCTCTGGAAACCATTGGGGAAGTTTTCCTTTAATTTCAAACCCATCTAGGTCTCTGGTAGAGTCAGAAAATGTGCAAAAATACGTGTTTGGGTATGCAAACAGCTAATATGAACCCCAGGAATGGAACAGGAAAATTGTCTGACGACAAGGAGGAATCTCTCTTCTGCCATTAATCTCTCAGAGACCGTTTTAACTCTGCTATTTTTGATGTACAGACAGCAGAGGTAACTTTCTCAGCGTTGCTGCCAGAAGGTAAATTCTCCCTTGCGATGGAGACTAAAGTGTCCTGGAGAATTTCCTCTCTTTGAGCCTCTTACCCCCGTTCAGCCCAGGTTCAATGATTATAGATCCAAGACGTGTAGCTGAATCTGGAGGGGGAAGAGGAGAAGGAGGGGACTGATATTTCCTAACTTTAATAAACTGAAATGAGAGGCCTCTGGGCTGCCTCTGCAGTGAGTAGTGAGCCATTGGGGTTGTCATCTCCACTGGCTCCAGGTGGGACACCTGAGTTTTCAACACCTTGAGCTGGTTGCCTCACCGTCCACCCAAGTGTTCCATTGCCAGTCCTTCAAGGTGGTCTGCTCCAAAGACAAAGCAGTGTGGTTGGCTGGGGTTTTTGAGGGGCTGGGGTAAGGAATTGCAGCTTTTAAAGACCTAACTGAATTCTCCTCTTAGCTGTACCTGTGGGATTGCGAGGCTGAGGTTGCTGAGGCTGGACTAGCCTAGGGCTGTCATCCACCCCACTGCAGGGAAGCCAGGAGGACCAGGAGCTGCTTCAAAAGTGTGAAATATCTGGATTTGGGATCCAGGGCTACCAGGCAGCTTTACTGGTTTCACTGTTCCCACCAAGCAGAAGATCAGTGATGGTGATGGGAGCAGACCCTCCTTGGGGTCTTCATCCATCATCATAGCCAGTTGGGCACCAAGAGGTCCCATGGCTGGTCACCTGCCCAGTACAACTGGAGAGAGCACCCCGTAGACGAGGTGTGTGGCTGGAGTGGCTGTGGCCAATGTTGGGGCATGACCAACCAGCACTATAAGTACAGTGAACCCATACAGTGGAGCCCAGGGACGTTGTCACGGGGCATCTTGGAGAACAGATATTTTTATTTCCCTTTCCTTCAGCAATCAAAGCACTATGTTCTCCCTGCCAGCTCAGCTTGGCAGGACTGGCTGTGACCTCCTGTAGCCCAGGCTTTGGTGGATTAAAGCTTTATTCAAGCACGTTTCTGGGGTGTTTACATGCACTTTCCTCTTTAATCATTAACGCCTCTGTCACTGTGTCTGTAATGTGCTCTTTTCAGTCTTGTGTTCACACTGTCTCATCCTGACACCTTGCCAGCCATGGATGTCTCCCATTCATTGAGTTACACAATCCCGCAGCGTATCTCACTGACTCCCAATGGCTCATGCTTTTCTGGACTAGCTGAGGATGTGTTATCTAGCACTGGAACTGAAAGGAGAATGCATATATGCTTTTTCATATCCGACCACCTCAATGGGATATTGCTACACATACGCAAATATATTCCAGAGGGTAAAGCATGTTGCCTATTACATCTGGGGTGGGGGGATCTCCTAAAGATGCTTAAGTGGTGCCCAAATCTCCAAATCTTGTCCCAGGGTGGGTAAGACTCTGGCTTTCATTGACAACCAGGTGGTAGGAAATTCCGGTTTCCAGCGGAATATATTTTCAAATTCTCTCTCTTTCTCTCTCTCTGTCATTCTGTTTTTCAGTCGTTTCTTTCTGCAACTTTTCTGACCAACTTTTCTCTACGTGTTGCTTCATTATGCATTTTGCTGGTGTCTTTTTTTCTTATTTACTTTGCCAGGATAGATATGATTGTGGGTCCCCCACCCCCTTCAACTCCCCGGCATAAGAAGTATCCAACCAAAGGACCCATGTATTCTTCCAAAGAATCTCCCCAATACTCGCCTAGGTTAGGATTCACCAAAATGCCGCTTTCTCTGGATTTTTCATTTGCTTAATGTCAAACCCCTTTCATGCCAGTTATATGACGGCATTTATCGCTTAGCAGTGCAGCTTGCTAAATCATGACTCAGAAGGGCTTGCTACTCTGGGTATGCTCTGATTTACTTTTAGTAATGAGCTTTCACACTAGGAAAGCCAAAGGAAAAAAAAAAAAAAGACATTCATATGGTTATCAATAACCATCAGTTTCTTCAGCTAGCGTATTTCTATTTTCAGTCTTCTTCTAGGTGTTAGAAAGCAAAATTATATCTTTTTAAAATCTCATATTTTATCAGGCTCTCTTCAAATGTAAAAGGTGGAATATTTACCCACAAAGCCAATATAAACGGAACAATCTACTTTCTAAAAGATGAAACACTCCACAGACAAGCAAAGGAGCCTCCGCAGCTCTTTATGCTATGAAATAGGTTTACTTCAGGGGGCAAAGTAAGAATGAAGTGTTTCATATCCAATGAACACAGGGGTCTCTTTTTGTTGCTGATGCAACTCTACGGACCACGGAGGAAAAAAATTGTGTTAAAATATTGCAACCACGGGACTCATAGTAAAACAAAATTAAATCCCAATTTTGCAAGCAGAAAGAAGAGCAATAGTCAAGCCCAGCCCTTAGTCACGCAGCGTGATTTTGCTCATTGCCCTTATTAAGATCTCTCCTTAGGTAAAACCGTACCTAAAGCTGATGCCACGAGGCACATATTCTCGCTGAAGTTCCTATTTTAGGGCATTCTGAGGTCTGGTCAGCAGGGCTGTGAGCTGAGCTGTATTTTCACCTTGTATTGAGACCACTGGAACCCAAGGCAGGTATAAATACTTGCCAGAAATTGTTTTCCGTGCACAAATCATAGGTGATTTTTAAATGCAGCAAGCTTAGCCTAATTTTTTTTTTTTCTAAATGTACTTGCCCTCCCTAAGAGCTAATATGTGACAAATCTCTTGTTTTTTTATTTAAGCTGCTCTGAGTAATCTTCACTTGAGGAATGTGAGTAAAAGGAATATTTTCCTCCTCAGCTAGCTCAAACATTAAAAAAAATAAGAGAATTTTTCAGAAGCCCCAAGCTATAAGCTCGGAAAAAAGATGCTCTCAGAAAAGCATTTTTCCCATTTCTCCTCCCTCACAAATGATGAGGCTCAAAACTAGTCTTTAAAAATTAAATAATTTTCTTATCTGCAGAAACATTTTGATTTTAAAATAAAAATAAAAATTCAAATACTTTTTTTTTTATTTAACCTCTAAGATTAGGTGTGCAACAAGCCCTCACTAGAGGCCAGATTTTCGTGTGAAAGCTTGTGCCTTGCACACAGAAAATGTCATCGATGGGTACTAAGGGGAAGAGGCCTCAAACTGGGATATTTATTTTAGTCAATCCAAGTCTGTTGCTATATCAGCTTAATATTAATGACTTTTTTCCCCATTGTTTTTGCAGTTTCTAATACTGATGGCCAGATTAAAAATCTATTTGCACATGCCCACTAGGCTCCTGGAACATTAATACTTTTTAAAATACTTGCTCCCTTTTTCAATGAATTTTCTCATTTCTTCTCTATTGAGCTGTGGCTGAGAGGCTCCAGAAAGCAGCAGAGTACAGAAGGCTGCTGAAACCCCTCCTCCCACCCATTAAAAGGCTTATGCTGTGCTTAATTTTTGGCAGCTGCATCCTCCCACAGACACCAGTGGGACTTGTGAGGTGCCTGAGGTGCCCGATGGATGGGAACCAGAGCTCTGAGCAGCCCCAAGCCCAAATCCAAAACTTCTGGGTCGGGCTCTGCTGCCATGGCCTTCATCATCTCAGCACCACGTGGGTCCGTGTCGTAGCTCCATGCAAGTAGCTCCCAGCAAAGGCGGATGGATGCTAGTGGGTGCCCACGGCTGTGGTTTGGCTAAAGATGTTTTCTCCATGCTGTTCACACAGACAATTCGGATCAAATTCCCTTGATCAGCTGATTTAACATAGAATAGGTGCAACCTCAGCTGTAATTTTTAGACAACGGGTGTTGGTGAAAATACGTTTAGAGCAAATTTATTGCCAAATGAGGAGGTAAGTAGCCAGTCCTGTGACATGGATGAAGGGGGTTTGGCTTCAATGCCTGGACTGTGTACAAAAAATTATAAGAGATAAAGAAAAAAAGAACAGAATTGAATATATATTCCCAAACACTTCATTTTTATCTCATTTGAGCCGTTTGACCTTTTGATGTCTGCTTCTGGCCCGAGGGTGACATATTACACCTTTTTGCATGCACTGTTAGCATGAAGCATAATGAAGCATGAGAAAACCTGCACTGTGGCTGATGCAAGACTTTACATTTTTTTTGTATCATTAGAAAGAAGGAAAGATACCGAAATTCACTTTAAAGAGCAACCCCCTTTCTCCCTCCCAAACTAAGACCCAGCAGAGCCTATCAAGGACAGCAGATGGCACAGTTCGTCCTGCATCATTAGAAATCTCTGAATCTTCTTCTGCTACGAAGCGAAAAACACGGGGCTGACTCTTCCAGAGCCTCAGCTGAATCATTCCCTCTGCACACATGTATTTGACACAGCCAAAATAAGTGTTGGGCACACACAAGGCTCCCCACGGGATGTAGTGCAGAGATGGGGTTTGGCATCTCAGAAGATTTGTGGTCCTTTGTCACGCTGTAGGAACATAGACTATGCCCCTCTGCTTGCAAAGGTAGAATATGTTCTCTCTTCTTCATCTTTTGAGCTTTGCTGCCCAATTTGGACAAAACCGCAGACTCTTTTATAATGGCTAAAGGTCCTCCTGCTCTTTGCGGTGCTCCGTTAGGTACAGGTGGGCTGGGAGCTCATGAGGAAATTCCTCTCTTCTCTTGTATCAGATATGGCACAAATGAAATCTCTGCACTTTGCTGAGGGTAGGAGTGCTGTCCTCTGGTCTAACTTCTGCCATGGGAAGCAAAGGAGTGGGAGATCTCAAGCCTGGTTTCTCCCATCAAGAGAGAAGAACTTGGTTCGCCTTCTTCTCCCCTCTCTGCACTGAAGTCAGTGGCCCACAGCAGCCCACCACATCGTCCTCAGTGCAGACCCTGCCTCCAAGGCGAGATCTGGCTCTGGTTTCTTGGAGCTGTGGAAGATGACCACCTCAGGAGTCAGGACTATGTTATAGGCACGAGGGGAATGAATGGAGCAGGAATTCTCTTGGGCTCTGGTATCAATCGTATATGGACACGGGCTTCTGAGTGCTTTATAGGTGAGCTCCGAGAAGGGCTACAGTCCTGCTTTTAAATCACAGCAGGTCTATGGGCAAGTTATGAACATCCTGAAAGTGATAGAAGAAATCAGTGCTCTTCTATACGATACTAGTGATCACTCCATCTGTGAGGTGCCAGCTGGCCCTTGTGCTTCACATTGGTCATGTGAAGTTCACTTACTGAATAGCTCTTCTCTTAAGGACATGAAAGAGAGCAGAAGTCCTTCCTCAATTTCTGCAAGATTAGAAATAGGGTTGTACAAGACTGTCTCTGCTATTACGATACGCCACAGCATGGCAATGTTCAGTTTTCCTCTCTGTGTTACAGTCTGTCCTGCCTGCCTGCTCTACTCAGCAACTGTTGAAGAACATCTCATTTCCATTAATTGACACATTTCAGTGTTAGTGCTGTGCTAGATGGGGCATGAGGACAGAGCACCCTGATTGTCCTTGGCCTTCCACAATATCCAGTAGCATTTAGACTTTGGGCCTCTTTAAATGCGTGTTCATTGTTTTACTATAGTCTACTTGCTTGTGCATACAGGAGAGGAGTTCGTACAGTGGCTGTACTACGCCTTGACTTGTGATTCCAAACCAAGGTAGCCTGAGGTATCCAATTTAATACCTCTTTGCTTACACGGTAACGACATTGTCATAGGATTTCTTGTGCTGTATGTCATGTCAGTAATTGCATCCCTTGTGGGGAGTTCCTGTACATGTCAATGATTTCCTTCTCCCATTACAAGAGAGAAATAAGGCATGCATATTCCTCACACTTGTAATTATAGCACTTGGTGCTCCTTGTACTCCTGTGCTTATATTGCTAAGCAAAGGATCAAACACGACTTGTTAAACAGAACTGTATTCTGTTGCATCCCTGCCCAAATGAAGTATCTTCTGGGATCAAAGATAAACTCTAAAATAATTGTTGGCTTCTATTTTCTGTCTTGGTGTGATGCGCTCATCCACTTCATCTCTTTGAGCCAAATCTTCTGTAAACTGCTGTTGCTCTAATATAAGCCAAGGGAGCCACGCTGGTCCGTACCCACTGATATCTGTCCCTTAGTGTCAACAGCCAACATATGTATTAAGTCCCTGTCAAATGTAAAGAAAACAGATGGCTCTCGTGTTGGAAATAGCCTCACGTCTCATTCCTTTCCTTGTTTTTTGTTTGTTCATTTTCCCCTGTCTGTCTGTGTTCAGCTCCTTCCTTTTCCTCCTCCTGGTGCATGGACCCATGGCCCACACGGCAAAACTGCGTAAGAAGCATTTTGAGTTTTCCGCTCAAGATACCTCAACTTGGTTTCAGTCAGATTAATTAACCCTTCTTTTCCCCTGCCACCCGTATGTTTGGTGCATTATGCAAGAGTAAATTTTGCCTGGTGTGAATTAGTTTATAAACTGGGCTGCCATTAAGAAGCTATTCCAAAACTGAATTGCTCCCCTGACTTTTGAGGGATCAACAAACTCCAGCGTTCACTCTCGAGAAAATGTATAATTTGATGCCTCAAATAAAATTCACTTCCAGCTTTCAAACTGGCTCTGCCCTCCTTCTTCCTCTGCATATGGAGCTGTATATCAACCCAGGTGTTTCTAGACTGGGAAGGAGGAGTTGCAAATGTAATGTGTGTAAAGAAGTTAGTGGCAACCAACTCTCCCAGTAGCTTTAGCTGCTGATTTGGCAGGAGTGTGTCCTCTGCTGTTACTGGCTCAGAGCCCTGCTAATAGAAAGTGTCTAATGATACAGGTGTGAATTGCCGTAGTATTGAGATGAAAACAATTCGGTAATGTTTGGTGAGTTGTGACCAAATTCAGCCTTGATGTAATTCCGCTAAAAGAGTTAGCACTACACCCGGGCGTCTGGATCTTACGGCTCATTTTTGTGGACGTGGGAATTACACACTGAACATTTGCATCGAAGAGAGGAAACTGCTGCAAAGACTGAAAAAAAAACCCATTGACATATGCTTGGAAGAAAACTTGATCTTCCCCCAAAATAATAATTTCTCAGTACAAATAAGAAGTTAACTGATTTGGAAGAAAGCCAGTTAAAGAAGTACTTTGCAGTGGGTAAATTTACTGTGCATAATGTGCCAGGTTTTATCTGTATAAACAGAAATGGATAATTCCAAACTCTGCTAATACTGCTCTGAATTTTGCATCTGAATTAACACTTCAGTGCCACTGCGTGTCTGTGAGTAATTTGGAGTGTTAGTTGGGAGAAAGGCTGTTGCTTTGTCCCACGGAGGCGCGACAAGTGGAGCCCTCCTCGCCTGCTGCCTCCAACTAACTCCAGGTCCTTTTCCGGGGGTGGGGGGATTTTCTGATCCCGGTAGAGTTGACCAGATCGTTGGGAGAGGTTCCTCCATGACCGACAAGGATCGGACCAAAGGGCCAGCGGAGGGGGAGCTGCCTGAAGACCCCAGCATGATGGGCAGGCTTGGAAAAGTTGAAAAACAGGTATATTGGGTCAGGAGGGGGTTCTTACCACAGGGTGTTGCATGCATTGTGTTGTTTTTTCCTTGCCTTATTTTCCTCCAGTGGGACATTACCATTTAGAAAAAAAAGTAAAAGCTAAGAATATTTTGAACAAGAAACAAGGTGGATGTTATGAATGGGCACTAAATGTCTTAGAAACCTAAGTACTACATTCAAAACAGGAACTTTGGAGTCTGTGACACATAGTCTTTCTTTTTTAGTGAATTTACCACAAGTCTGCATTATTTTTGAAAATGGCACATTGGTTTCTTTGCCACCATGCTAGATGTATTTCAAATGAACCCATGAGCCTGGCTGCTGTAGCTGCTGACCTTGCCAAAGATGACAATCTTCCTAGGGGATAAGGCTCAGCAATCCCCATGGCCAGCTGAACCCAGGCAAGTGCCAAATGCAGTAAGGAGCTGAAATGATGTGAGTATGCTCCAGCTTTCCTGGAATTTGGTGCCTGTCAAAAGGATTATAGGAGCTTAAGGAAAACCCTGTAGCAAAGTGGAGAATTAAATGCTTCAGAACAGGAGATAATTAAATATTTACTAAAAGTTTCAGTTTGGTGTAGGTCAGTGTAGGCAGAAGTCATCTGTGAAGCCCAGCCCCATACCTGTGCCTAGCTGGGTTGGAGGTTGCTTGTACTCAGGATGTTAATGTGCTTGAACCTGTGTGCAGTGCATAGCGCTGGAACTGTGGTGTTTGCAGGTTCAGTCAATGGAGAAGAAGCTGGACTTCCTGGTGAACATTTACATGCAGCGAATGGGCATCCCACCAACGGAGACAGAGGCTTATTTTGGGTCCAAAGAACCAGATCCAGCACCTCCCTACCACAGCCCTGAAGACAGCAGGGAGCACATTGACAAGAACGGCTGCATCATCAAGATCATCAGGTCCACCAGCTCCATGGGTCAGAAGAACTTCTCTGCCCCGCCAGCCCCGACCAACACATGCCCACCGTCAACATCTTGCCAACAGCAGGTCTACCAGCGGCAAAGCCATGGCTCCTCACCCGTCGGAGATCCCGGCTCGCTGGTCCGCATCCCACCTCCGCCCTCCCACGAGCGCTCCTTGTCAGCGTACAGCGGTGGGCACAGGGCAAGCGCAGAGTACCTGAGGAACGAAGACATTACAACCAAACACCATGAGAGTGCCATGAGAGACAGCGACACATCCATCTCCATCCCCTCGGTAGACCATGAGGAACTGGAGCGCTCTTTCAGCGGCTTTAGCATCTCCCAGTCCAAAGAGAATTTGGACATCCTTAACAACGGTTGCTATGCAGCCGTGGCCAAAATCAGACCCTACATTGCAGAAGGGGAATCAGACACCGATTCTGACCTCTGCACGCCCTGTGGTCCTCCTCCCAGGTCAGCCACGGGTGAGGGACCCTTCAGTGACATGGGCTGGTCAGCCCCCAGGCAGTGAAGCCTTCTTGCAGCCACCGAGCCACGTCCGAGCGCTGGCAGCTGCCCGCTCCAGCTGTCCAGGCATTGAACTTCTCGAGGAGACTGACAGCCAAGGTTTTCCTCCTTCTAGGACATCCTTAGCTGGCAGATACTTTCATGCAGCTTACTCTGGGGGGCGAACAAGCAGGTCCAAGCCTGCGTTTGTGGAAGGGGTCACGGCAGTGAGCAAACTGGAGCCGTGAAGTCCAAATTTCTTTCATACTCTCTTTCTAAGGTCATTAGGTGAAATTATTTCATGGTGCAGGGTAGGCAATTTGCATTTCTTGGGAATCTTCAGAAGTGCAGGGCAGGAATAAGTCACCTGGCCAGGGCTCTTGGACCTCACAGTAACTGGTGGCTGACAAGCCTTAGGTGGGAATTGCCACATCATGGCACTGGTGATCACACCTTTAGGTGTTCTGGAGTTGCGGAATGAACACGTGTCTGTTTCTGGCTTAGATTTCAGGTCACATGTAATTATGGGGGGGTTGTTACTCTGTGGTTCCTCATTAACTGTCACGAAGGTGGCATAATTCCAATATAATACATGGAAACGTTGCATAGGCCCCTGGAGGAGAGGGATAGTGGCTGGATTATTGGCATGGACAGAAGACATGGCCTCAGTGGGACAGGTTAGGATCCTGCTCTGAACCAGAACAGTTTGGAAATGATCCCATCTTAGGAAATTGAGAAACTCAGAAATACGAGCTTGAGTGCAAGAAGAGAGACAACCCAGAGGGCAGAGAAATGAGACAGAGAAGGAGAACAAGAGACTACGGGGCTGGAATTTTATGTTTTAAACCATGTATTATATTTAATTATCTCTCCTCCTGTTGACAATAGAGCTGGAGGTGCTTTGGAAGCAAAGGCAAACCAAAAGCAACCCCTCTGGAGGGCTGCCATGGAGTGAAGCCATTCTTGTGGCCAACAGTGCTGTTGTGGTGGCACGGCCACCAGGCCAAAGGGAGAGGGTGGGTATGCAAGATGCTGCGCTCCCCGCGCTGCTGCGAGTTAAGTGCTGGGCTCCGTCCTTTTGAAGCCCTGTTGGTCAGAGCGGGCACTTTTCTTACAGTTTGCATTGTGCCTGAACACTTTTGCACACACTATGCCCCGTGAAAATCTTCCCTTCTTTCTTCTGCCCTGCCAAGAATCTCACACCCATGTTCTCGGGACATCCTTTGGTTTTGTTTGGATCCCTCAAGCTGAGTTAAGAGGTGCTGCTTCATTTCTTCATGGTCTTTCAGAAGCCTCTTACCTGTGCTTGCCCACAAGTTGTGCTAATCCAAGTCTGCCCCGTTTCGTTGTTGTTAAAGTACTTTCTCTTGGAAAGATCTTAGTGTCGTTACCAGGAACCTCAGCAGCTCATTCAAGCTGGGGGAAGGAGAGGGGAGAAGTGATGCTCAAAGTTTCTTTTGGGACCAAAATGAAGTCACAAAGTGACCCTTTACATGAATGGGATGTTTGGTTGTTTAGGGGTTTTTTGCAAGGGCGTGGATCAGGAAAAGTGTCTTCGGGGTCCATCTCCAGGGCTGGGACACCATGGCCAGAGTGGTGCCTCTGAGCCCTCCCATGCATCTACAGCCCAAATCCCGTGTGTGTTTTCTGCTGGGGCTCTGTCTGTGATTTCAAACCCCTTCCCTCCGCATTTTTCCTGTGTCATATCAAGAGCCTGTTAAAGATATTTAGTTGACAACTTCATTTCTGTGTGGCCTTTGAGAGGTTGAACATTTACTTGCTTGAGGTGGAGGGAGAATCACAGCCTTATTCTCTCCTCCTGCTTGCAGACAGGAAATAAAACCATCCTTTTTCTAGTGCTCAGGACCAATGCGCAGGTCTTCACATGGGATTGAGGAGTGGGGAAAGGCTCTGCGCATTTTTTCCTGCCATTTTTCACTGTTCAGGAGGGGAAAACATTTTTCTTAGAGGGAACCTAGGCTTTCAGCCATGCTAGTTCCTTTGTTTCCCATTTGATCCATTTTTTTTGTTACCTCCTGCAATTTTTCCCTCCCTGCTTGTGCTCCCAAACTTCTTTTGGCTCCAGATTTCTTTGTGCAAAGTGAACCCAGCGATGCTCTTGGCTTCCATATTTGCAATCTTTGAATGCAAAATGGCTGCCAATTGTGCAGCCCCTGGCGTGTTGCAAAACGAGATGCCTTCTGGTAGAGCAAGAAATGTCAGCAGGTCCCAAATCAGACTTGGTGGCACGTGGTTTCTAGTGATCACAGAAGGGAAATTGCATTGGGTGAGGCAAAGGTCAGCATTGCTCCAGCCAGCTGCTTGCTGCAAATTTTGTCCAAGTCAGAGATAACAAAGATTTATCATCTTATTTGTTTGCAATTACTTTTTGAGGCCTGCTGGAAATTTGGCACAGAAGGGTATGATATAAAGGCAGGAACTCCAGAAGAGGATGATGTCATGCGGTCCTATTGCAGCACAGGTACATGACTAGTCTTTAATATAGGAGGGAAAGTCAACAGGACATCGAGGCACAATTTTTGTGGGATGTAGTTTTCATCGTGTCCTCATTTTGAAGTTCAGTTGGCTTGGTTTTGAATGTCCGTTTCCCAGTTCTTATTGCAAAATCCCTTTCTCCTGCCCAGATGATGTTACACCCTTGAAAGCAAATACCGCCAGTGTGTCCCAAGGAGACGCAGTCCCAGGTGTGTCCTCCGAGTTTTCCAGAGGCTGAAATCTGCAGTCTTTTACCTCCCTTAGGGACTACATAGGAAGAATTGTGTTTTCCCTCCTCAAGTTACTACACCAGAGTTTATAAAGATCTTCTGACTTGTAACTTTGAAAGGTGTTGGATTTGTCCCACAATCACTGATTACAGAAACCCGGTTTTATATACATGCAGCACAGATTTTTTCTCGCTGCTACAAATTTGACTTTTTTTTGGAAGTTGTAAGAAATACTCCACCTTTACCTGTGGCATCATTTCAAAGAAATTCTGACACATGCCTCCATCCACAACCATGCCATAAGTCGTCACTTCTCATTCATCTAGGCAAAAAGACCTGGAGTTTTGGGTTAACTTACACCAGAATTAAGTCCAAATAATGCTCCTTATTTCCATGAAATTGTTTATGCCTGCATAAATGAGAACAGAGCCTGCTTGTTGCTTATTGACATAAATAATTTCATTCTTGTCCTAAATCATAGTCCAATACTTCCTGCAAAGTCTTCACTTTCAATCCCTCCATTCCCTCATGCCTGTATCACCCACTCCTGGTGGTAATCTCCCGTAAGGAGTCTTAACCACTAGATTGAAAGAAAATAAATGGGTTTTGTTTTGCTAATAAGGCAGTCCCAATGATAAAGACCTTTGAATGGATGGACAGGCAAACTTGTCCCTCTGCTGAGCCTCTCTCAGGCCGATCTTTGCTGCCCTGTTCCTACCAAGTCTGGTTCTATATTTTCTGGAGGACAGAAACAGGTTTTAGACAATGCCAAGTGTGGACAGCGTAGACCAAGGAGAGCTGAAGAAGGAAGCAAGCCATATTTCCAGCAGGCCAACTTGAGCTGCTCCAGGGGTGCCCAGGCCCACGCGCGGTTGTGTGCACAGAGCCTGGTTTCAAGGTGCGTCTGTGCTGAATGAGAAGCCTTGGCCTTGGACCAGAGCCTGGGATCTGGTCTCCAAGAAACTTTTGGAATTTTTTTTTTTTTTTTACCCCAGAATCTGGGTCTGGGTCTGGAGATGAATACTGCAAATGGCCCCACCTGCAGGATGGAGCAATCCCTGAAGCCACAGGCAGGTTTTGGGTGCTTCAGGTCCAAGTGTGAGTTCAAGTTGTTGGAGGAGTTCATGTCTCCGAACGGGAGACGTTGCAATCTCTGTGCAGGTGGCCTTTCGTAACGTGACCCCGAGACGTAGGAACAGAGCACTAGCCATAAGTCGAATTTCCCAATATTTGGGAAGGGACTTTAATGTTACTCAAGTGCAGACTTTGTATGTGAATTTCCTTGTTGACTCATTTTCTTATTAATAACTTTTAAAACAAAAATGTTAAGGAACTCACTGAAAGCAAACCTCTTGTCCAGCTCCGAAAGCCATTATGTTTCTTTAGACAGACTATGTGATAGATCAGATTTTCTAAAAATGTGTTTTGTTTCAAATGCTGCTTAATAGATCCAAATAAATTCTGCAGGGTCATTGCTATCTACAGATAAATAGGTATGTTTTTACATTTTTAATTGATTTTTAAGATTTTAAATTATGTGAATTTTTAGAACGTTTGTATAATCTACCTGAGAAGCCAGAGCATCATGTCAGATACAAATGCTCCCCTTCCTAACAGTTACCCAAGAGCAAAGAAAAACGTGTTTACTCATATTTTTCTCAAGAGGGAGCTACTGCAATCTTCATTTCCCTTACATCCTCAGACCACTATGGTCACAGCATCATTACTGCTAAAGAAAATACGTAAGAATTAAAAGAGAAAGTGAAATTTCTAAGGGATTTGCCCAAGAGTTATCCCATATGGAGACCCTTGGCAGTGAGTATTTTATTGGGAATGTTAAAAAGCCCAGGAGCAGGCTAAGGATTTCTGTTTCTCCATCCACGCTCGTGTGAACCCTCGGGTTGGGCGAGCCCTGAGCCTCCATCCCTTTCTTCCCAGCACGACTGGGGTCCTCCGACCCGCGCCCGCATGCCCGCATCCTCTCTCGCCCGCTCTCCATCATGGGTCATGGTTCCGTTTTCATCAGCCCCCTTCTCATGAACCAGAAACAAGGAAATTGGATACAAAAGCTCCTTCACCTGCAAGTAACATTGAGGCCGCAACGCCGAGGGCGGTGGCACAGGGGTGAGGGCAGCAGCCCCCCCCGAGCCCTTCGTGGGTCCCTGCTGCTCAGTGGTGTAAAAGCAAACTCTTGCAAACCCCGATTTTTCTGCGTCACAGAGCAAAATCAGGGTGTGGGTTCCCTGGTTTTCCAACGATAACAATAGGGGGTCTTTTGTTTAATAATAAGGATAATAAT